CAGGGCGTTAAGAGAAATAATGATTGTTTGATCCATCCCTGGAGGTGACAAGCTCCCGGGAGCTGCGGCGCTGGTTCCGACCCGGCTCCTCGGGGGTCCGTGCTTCAGGCGACGGAACGCGCCTGTTCCACCTCGTGTCCTCCGCAGGACCACTGCCCCGGGCCCTGCGACCCCCGCGGGCTGTCCCTGTCCCCCCCAGGCTGTCCCGGTCCCCCCCGGTGCCCGCGGCGGGCAGTGGCGCGGCCCGGCGGCGCCCCCTGGCGGGTCGCGGCCGTTCCTGCCCTCGCCCGGCCCCGGCCCCGCTCCGCCGCAGCCGCTCCCGCCCTCGCTCCCGCCTGGCTTGTTGCTTCATCAAAGTCACTTGGTAGATACAGATTGCCTGCCCTCTCGTAGGACCCTCAGCATGCCGGAGACTTGAAGGAAATTATTAGTTTTTAGCTGATTGAATAAACAGCATTAACCAACTTGTGTGCTGTGGCGGTAGGGGGCTGGGATGGTTAGAGCTGCTGTGCTGAATAACCGATAAAGCTATTTCCCGTGTCTGTTAATTTATGGCCTTCTTGCCTTGAGTGGTCCGAAGTGCCTCCCGATTAGATCTTGTGTGGTGCAGCCCCCGCAGGGTGGCTGGTCCCCTGTGGAAATGGAGACCTGGCGTGAGGCTGTGCTGCTGGCCTCGAGTGCCACTCACAGCGGCATCCCCTGCTGCCTGGGAAGGGCTGCCTTTCCTCCCCTGCCCCCAGAATGGGTTTGTGGTGGGAAGATTATTTGCTATAAACCTGGTTTCTGGAGGAATGGCGCCTGTTGCAGTGCTTGGGGCTGGGCAGCAGCTGATGTTCCAGTGAGCACCACTCCAGCTCCATCTCTGCCCGGCAGTGAGGGTGGGCAGCCTGGGGGAGCAAGAGCACAAGGCACCATGTGAAGTCTCTCTAGACTCAGGGACAAGGCTGGGCCTGTTCCAGTGATGGCTCAGGTCTCCCTTGGCCGCAGAGCAGCAGATTACCCTGGTCCATTGGTCCCACCAGGACAGAGTTCTCACTGTGGATGGCAGATCTGGCCATGAGGAGAGCTCAGCCCAGAGCAGAATCCACGCTAACTAACTAAATCCACACTAACTTTCCAAATGCTGAAGAATGTGTGAAGTAGTGATGAAATGTTTGGCTTAATTTTTTTCTCCCTCTCTAGGAGGCTGTTCAGGCTGCCTTAGGAACTGGTGCGGACCATGTTTTACTGAATTGTTTTCTTAATTGTGTTGCTTGGAAGTTCCATTTCTGATGTAATAATTGCAGTCTCCTAACCTGAGCTGTCACCCAACACAGAGTGTAGTAGAATCTCGTGAAATTCTCTTTAATGGAGCCAGTGAAAATTTTCATTTGCTTTTCAATGTGGAAGAGGGTTTTGTAGTAATGGTTTAAAAGATTCAGTATGTTTAGGGTTAAAAAAAAACCCACAGGCTAACAGGTCGATACATCTGTTCCTTTAAAAAAATGCATTCTCCATTTTTGAGACATCATAAATATGTAGATGAGGCCTCTTTAATTACTGCCTAGGGCTATAAACTCTCAATGCTAGAGGGAGGGAAAAATTAAGAATAATTCACCTTTTTTTTTTTTTTAGAGAGAGAGAGACTGGGTCTTTGCCTCTGAAAAGAAAGAAGAATGGGGCTTTTTATTGTTGAATTACCAGAAGGTGCTGGGAACACTTCTTCTTTTTTTGTTTATCCTTTTGGATGGGGTTAGCATGTAATGCAGTAGTGTACAACCTTTCTGGCTAATGTGTGCACCAAACAGAGGGGATTTGTTACAAAGCACCAGGAAAAATTCCCTTCTCTATCCTCCTCTGCCAGTACCCTTAATCCTGATCTGCAACATCCCCTGCTGTCTCTTGAGCTGCTCGCAGGCCCGGATCTCAGCGTGCTGTCCAATGCAGGGACACCGCAGGCCAGCCAGGGACCCTGCAAAGTCCTTTTCACTTGTGACCTGATAAGTGCACAGCACTTAACCGAATAGAAGTCTGTTCTTATTCAGCCCTGACGGCCTTTCTGTATCTTAAGTACTGTTATTTTCGACTAAGGTGATCTTGCTGCTGCTTTTAAAATAGGATGAGATCGACAGAAAGGGTATTTTTTTAAATTTAAGGACGTGGATGTGGGGAACGAGGCCAGAGTACAGCAATACTCATGTAGTAGGTATAGTTACTGGAAATTTAATTCTGCTGTTATTTTTCTTCCAGCTAAAATGGTCTGGTGTCAAAATGCTTATTCTGCTGTGGTGAAATTTCTGATCTCTATGATAATTTTCACTTCCCATGTTTAATCTTTTAATTCTTGCTGAGGCCCATGAAAGAGTAATTTCCAGATAATAATGGTTTCCCACTAATAAGCTCTGCGTTTTTAATAGCAGAAATTACTTAGAGCCAGTATGCTCACTGAAAAAAATTACTCTATTTGATGCTCTATGATGTGTCTGAGAGCAAGATAAAGAAGAGTCTTGCAGCGGTGAGGCAGGGCACTTCAAATACCAAGTGTTGTGTCATTGTGTGTGATGGGGCTCCATGTGTACAATTCTGGCTGCTTGGTTCATGCAACAAATGTTTGCTGTGCAGGGGAGTGGTGGGCTGAGGGCCTTCTCTTGACCAGGAGAGAATAAATGAGATTGGGCTGTGAAAGTAGCACACTGTCAGCTGGAAGGGCTGGTGGGTGATTGCCCATCCCTGCTGGGAGGGAGAAGAGGCAGAGGGAGCCTGGCAGGGCAAAGACTCGGCCATAGAGCTAATGTCATGAGAACAAGTGGAATTGAGCATGGAAGTGAAAATTCTTCTAGCCCACTAGGGGAAGGGTGAAAGTTAGAGAGTGCTTTTCTATAAGAGCCATTGGATTTTTAAACCAGAACTGTTTTGGAGACTGAAATTGATCAGATTGTTACAGAATTTGTGTGCCCTGTCTCTGTAGGAGAGTAGGGGATTGCACTCCCAGTCCTGCCTCCAAGGGCCTCGTTGGGCTTTGAGAAGAAGCCCCATTGCCACGTGGGAGAAATGGCAATTTGGACAAGTACTACAGTAAGCTGTGACTCAGGTAGCTGATAGCAAACTCTGATTTTGTTTATGGTTAACTGTAAGGCAGTGAACTGGAGTGGCATTACATCTGTACACATGAAATTGTGTAATTCAAAAATGTCATGACTTTCTTGAAAAAAAAAAAGGTGCCTCAGTTTGCATGTCTTCAAATTTTTCAACAAACGTCTGTGTGCTATATGTATTTGTTTTCAGTGTACCCTTGTCCATCTGTGCTGATGTTCAATTAAAATGCAGATAATGTGTCCTGGCTTGTAAGATGGATCACTGGTGAAGTACTGTCATGTCTAGGCTAGCTTATCTCTTGATAAATACCTCTGCTGTCCACTGAGAGATTAAACTTGATGACTGCTGAGGTCTGTTTGGGGGTCCTACAGGCAGATAAGACTGTGTAACTGGCTTTTAATAAAGTACATCAATTTACATTTGCTAGAGGACCATTGGATGGCACTTGCTATTGAGAAGGCAGTGGCATAATCAGAAGATAATACTTGCATACTTGGCTCTTCTGTTTTATAAGTATTATAATTTATTGACAGGAATGCTTTATTGAGTCCTCTTGTGTCCAGAGCTTGGAGGTGGGGAGCTTGAGCTGCTGTTCTAAGACCTCATTTAGTTGTCTAGCAGGAAAGATTTCTTCCCCTGAGTCTAATCCAGCAGGAGCCACGAAAGAACATTATCAGCTAGGTACAGAAATCTCCAGCAGTTTGGGTGTGTGGGATGCCTGCAGATCTGTGGTCTGGGGTCTGTCTCATTGTGAGAGCTCTGTAATCAAGGTTCCCACCACAGGGAACCCTCTTCCCCTCAAGGGGGTTGAGTATGGACAGCGCAGGAGTTGTTTAACTGAAGAGATGTTGAGTTGTGCACCAGAAGTGGTGAACAGTCAGCTTCTCTAACCAGACAAGTATCTGAAAAATTTGCTCTCTCTTATGTGTGTGGAGGGAGTGGAAAAAGTTTTGTCATGAACAGTGCTTCAAAGTAACAAGCCACTCAGTGCCACTGAAGAGGTTCATGAGGGAGAGGTTTCTGTGCAGGACTGGGACCTTGCTTGTGCTACCATAAAGTTTGGTGTAAATAGTTTGGTGGTGGCATTTGGGTATATACTTCTGTGCCCACTCATTGCTCATGAACTCCAAACACTACTCTGAGCCTTAATTTTTATTTTCTAGGTTTTCTTTAATGTTACAGAAAGGTTTAATTTGCCTTAAATTGCACTGATTGTTAAGAGATGGACCTAAAGACCACAGGCCATGTTTTTCCAAAGTAACAAGTAGTTTGCTCAGGGATTTCTTGCAAGCAGCTCTGTTCCATTGTTCAGGTGGTAGAAGAGATGGACCTAAGGACCGCAGGCCTTGTTTTTCCAGAAGTAACAAGTAGTTTGTGCAGCTATAGATACATGAATGAACACAGTTTTTCTAGAAGGCAGGAACTGTGCAGCCCTTTGCTCTGAAGATTAGGCCTATTCCATAGATTTATTCTAGGTTGTACATCTGGACATTTGTCTTTCTTAAAGTCTGGGCTGTGTTGTGGATCCCAGTCCTTCCTGCTCTGTGATCTTGGGCATTTCAAGGGCTCATGAAATAGATTTGCTGGTCGGAAGAGAGTCCAAAATGTACCTGTTGCTTTTAATTTCAATGCAGAAATCCAGATTCTTCAGGACACACATTTTGTGCTGTTTTTGGCCATGTAATACTCTGCTGTGTCTGATTCATTTAATATTTATGGGAGGTATTTTCTCTTAGAGGAAGATTAGGAAGAATCCCCATGCTATTGTCCTTGCAAAAGCCAGGCTGTCATTGTTATTGGGATTATTATTATTTTATCTCACAATGTGCTCAGGGGTTTCCTGCAAGCATCTCTGTTCAATTGATCAGGTGGTGGAAGCATATGGACCATGTTCAGTGATCTTTATTGTCCTTTTTGTCTTGCAGATCGAGGGATTTTAATGGCTTTCAGGTAGAAGAAAGTGGAGACAATCAAAATGAATTCTATGGACAGGCACATACAGCAGACCAATGACCGGCTGCAGTGCATAAAACAGGTGAGTGAAGGTGGAGGCCATTGCTGCTGAATGAGGGCTGGGTGTGGTGTGCCAGCTGTTGCACATTACAGTGTCCTGTTGCTGAAGGAGTGTCCTTGCCCTTCAGAGGGAAGGAATGAAGCACACTAATCTCATTGAAGAGAGTATCTGCTGTGAGAGCTGGTGTATTAACCTCAAAAGCCAAACTTTCCTGTACACTTAAGAACTCTTTAGCCTGGAGACTCAACAAATCTGTCTCAGCTGGAAGCAGAGTGGTGCTCGTCCTGCCAGCTCAGCCCTGGAGGGTCACAGTGGGCAGCTGTCATTCTAGTGCTCTGAGCACAGTAATCCACAATTCCAATGGGCCAGTTTTGATTTTAATCCAGTGGCTGACCTGAGACCTGCACCGCCTGGAGACTCAGAACTTGGATGGTTGGCATGCCTCCAAGTGCTCAGAGTGCTGCTTAATCAGTTTGCATGGAGATTGCAAAAACTTCTGATTGCGAGGTGAAATTTTCAGAAGCATCTGTTTGTGAAGATGAAGGGCTCTTCACATGCCACTGCCTTTCAGTGAATTATGTCTCATTTACAGATTTCCCCACTGTAACTGTGCCTGCAAATGCTTTTATAACTGAGCAATGGCAGAGAGGCAGAGACTGCCTTTCCCTGCTTTACTCTTCTCAGTGAACTTTGCTCTCTAGGGTTGCAGGCAGTGTGTATGTATGTTCTTATCCACATGCAACAATCCTAACAGAGTTTTCATAGCAATGGTCCTTTTAGAGGAGGTGAGCAAGAAAATGTTTTTTCATGTTGATGTTTCCTGTATTTATCTCAAAATAATGCATGCATGCAGCAAACAGGTGCGTAAATGCAAGTTGCACACAGATATTTTCAAGATCCCATCTGGATCCAGGAGATGAGCTCCAAAGTTCATCTCTTCAGACTGAAATTTTTGAAATTTTCTGAATTACGCGGGAAAAACAGAAACCTGTTATTCCATGAAATAATGTTCCCAAATATTTTTTCACTGTTGTCTGGGCAGTTTTGTTTGTCAGATTGGGTCACAGCAGAGTCCTGCTGCTTTAGTTTTTTATTTGTGTTAGCTAAGTTAAAAACCTGCCTGCCTACTTGTGCCCTAGGACGTATGCATATTGCTTCTTGAGTCAGCACAGCATTTCTCTGTTCATAGATTTGTGTTGTAGACACAAGCACCCTAAATCAAAGGTACTGATAAAAGATAAGTGTGGGGGTGGTACTGGATGAGTAATTCTGGATTTTTAAATTTATTTCTTTAAGGACAACTTCCTCAAGAGAAGCAGCCGAGGGGAAGTGCTGATCTCTCTGTGGTGAGCAGCAATAGGACACAGGAAAATGCAGTGACACTGTGTCAGGGGAGGTTCAGCCTGGGCATTAGGAAAAGGCTCTTCACTGAGGGGATGGTCACTCACTGGAACAGGCTACCTATGGAAGGGGTCACAGCACCAAGCCTGTCAGAGTTCAAGGAACATCCAGATGATGCCCTTAGTCACATGATTTAATTTTGGGTAGTCCTCTAAGGAGCAGGAAGTTGGCCTTATTATTGCTTAGAGGTCCATTCCAATTTGATATATTCTTTGATTCTATAAGAATATGTCCATCTTCTTAGTTTCATCAAGTTCCATCATTATATTATTGTAGCTTTTCCTAGATATTAATGGAAGTTTATGTTTTCTAGAATGTGTTGTAATGCAGGAATATGTGGGGTTTTGCAGGTGATGCTTTGGGTGATACAGAGAAAGATTATAGCTCACACCTAAACCAGATGATTTTTCTCTCCATATTTCCTTTATAAGAGAGGGTTTCAGAATGAATCAAACAAAGCTAGTTCATAGGTCAAGGAGCAGAAAACAGGAATCTTTTCCTGCAGAATTGCTGGTGGTAATCCATCCTCGCTCTGTGGTGTCTCTCTTTCATCACTCTGCAGTGAAAGTTAATGCATCTAATGGCCCTTCAGAGGCCTGAGGAAAATATGAATTTGAGGATTTCATCCCAGTTTCTTATGAACAACTATCTGGTTCAGAAAAAACATGCCCTTGACTGGTACAAATTGGTGTCCTTTTTGGCCATCCTAGCCCATAGGATGAAGAATGAAGGTTAAATTGCAGAACAATTTAACCTTCTAGCTGTAAGAACGGACCTTTACATCAAGTGGAGACAAATGGAGGATGCTGCTCAGCTCCTTTTTCTAGAGCTGTCAGTTTCGGTACATAATTTATATTATTTTAATTAGATAAGAGAATATCAAATTACACTTCTTAAAGTTTTAAAGAGATAATTTTGCCTATGTAATGGGTACTCTGTCAGTTAAACCACTAACTTCATTTATATATAGTGCTGTTTTGCATATGCAGCTTGGATATTTCTTCAGTGATGAAGGCTGGGGGAAGGGAGGAAGGTCAGGCTGCCCAGAATTTGTGAAGCACTCTCTGTTTTCTTTGATCCTGGAAGAAAGCTTGGGGTAGACCAGGAGCATGCTTGTGTCAGAGGTCAAAGGATGCCTGTGAAGGAGCTGTCCTGCTTGGGAATGCTTGTGAATTCATGGTTCCCCCCATTCTGTTTATGCTCAAAAAAGAAAGAAAAGGAGAAAGCTCTTGTTTTCAACTCATGACAATCTGTAGTTAATTAAGACAGTGGCTGAACACTGAAAATATGTCTCAGAAAGCTTTTTTTTTTGTGCAAGTGGCACTACTGGTAGTTTTGTTGGAGAGGAATGACTGTTTTTTTTTTTTAAAAAGAATTTGTTTTGTTGATGAAAGTAGCATCAAAACTGCTGTTTGCTTTTTCATAGTTCCAGAATTTTGTGCTGTTATCTTTGCTGTAGTGGAGAAAGGCAGTTAGTTTCTGTCTCTTTTTGGAAGACACTCAGCTCTCTGTCACAAGGTCATAAATTTCCCGCTTGAGGATATTTACCTTGTTGTTTGAGAGAGGCCATTAGCTGGCTAATACTAAAAAGAGTCATTTCCAGTTCACCCATTGAGAGCTGGACCGCACGCTGCCCTGTGCATGTTGAGTTTGGGAGCAAAGCCCTTCCTTGCATGGCCATAAAAATTATCTTCACCTATTCTGGGGATTAACTGCAGGGGCAGACAAAAATGTGTCTGCCTTTTCCTCTGGTCTCTCCCTTGTCCCAGACTGTGAACAAACAGCGCTGCTGTTCCCCTGAGCACTCATGTGCTTTTGGGGTGGTTGACACAGCCGTGGTGTGGAAGGTGCACTGCAGCAGGGGGAGCAGGAAAGCCACCCTTCCTTGGCGCCCAGCATCTGCCAGTTTTATAACCCTGCTGGCAGCCAGTGACTCCTGCAGCCAGACTGAGAGCTGTCTGCAGCCCTCCTTGCCCCTCACTCCAGCCCCTGAGAAATGCTATAAATGGTAATCCATGTGCCTCTTTAACTAGATCAGGTTTCAGCACAGGGTCAGGACAAGCTTCTTTCTTCCCAGCTCTGTGACTTGTGAGACACCCACAATATCCTTGCTGACTTCTGTTCCAGGATCAAGGTTGTGTTTTACCTTCATCTTTTTTAGTGCTTTAAAGCTACAAACCCAAAACTTGTATATGATCAGCTAGTTAGGAAATGAAGTGTGTGTTAAGAAGTGTTTCAGAATAGATGAAAGGGCAAACTGAAGAGGTGGCTGTGTATTTATGCTTAAAAAAACCCCAGACTTCTGTGCAAGGCTGGAACAGCTTGTGTGGTCTCTTTGTAGCTGATTCCCTTAGTATTTGTAAGTGTGTGTGCTTTAAAATCAAAAATAGCTTTTTTGATGTACAGTGGAAAAAGCCAAAGTAACAGGCTTTCCCTAACACGTGCAATTAGTTTGCCATGACACAGGAGACTCTTCAGGGTACACTGGAGGAAGCTGCATGTTCAGGCTTTTTTCTTAAAGTCTTTGTCCATGCAAACAAAACCACAGAATTACTTTTGTGCAGAGCAAAGGTCTGATGGCCCCTGAGAATTCCCTGCCATATTTGAGGCTGCAGTAATAATCTGTTTATCTGCTCATGGCACAGGTGGCTCTGACACAATGTCCATGAAGCTGTGGGGCAGCAGGCAGGCATGGAGCTGAATTTGAGAGCTGCCTTGCTGCCCAGGCACAGCCTTCTGAAGGAGCCAGCTTGGCTCCTGCTGCATAGAAAATCCCAGTAAAGAATTGACTGGCTTTCTTAAAGCATTCTTCAGAGCAGTCCAGAGGTGTGGCTTTAACCAGATGCTGCCCATTGCATTTGTTAGGTGATAGAAGCAAATACCAGGGGAAATCAGTGGGCTGGGTAACATCTCTCTACTCGTACTCTAATGGGTCTACTTGAAAAACTTGGAGCTATTATGAATCTAGGGACTCCTACCCTTTGTGTCTCTGTTTGCTGTCAGTCAGTTTTGTAAGGTTTCTGTATGTTTCTTCTGAAATTCTTGCAAAGAAGTAGATAAAAAAACATTTCTATATTGAAATTACAAGGAAGTCTCCCCTTTCAGAAAGGGTGTGTGATATCTTCCCACTGTGCTGGGTACAGCTGTTAGGCTCTGTTCTAAAGCTGTGCTGAAATGTTAGTAACAGGTTAAGGAGAAGTGTGAAAAGGCTCTCTGGTGTAAAAAGTATTAGATCATGGTGGGAACAGGGAAGGCTGGTTCTGCTGCTTGTGTCATGGTACATCAGGGCACACTGAGCTGTATCATCAAATGGTGCGGGAGCACCACGTAATTGGAGACACACGTCACACAGCTGATTTCCAGAAAGCCATTAGCATTTCTCCCCTCTTTCCTTCCAGAAGGCTTGTGAATTGCTGCCTAGCAATGCTTTTTAGTGCCTACCCAGCCATTCAGAGAGATATGCTAAAAGTTGTAATTGCTGTGTGTTTGTGTTGATATTTTGTTGCTCAGATTGGAAACAAGCAAGCCCATTTCTTTCATCACTCAGCAGCTAGGTTTTTGGTAGCTTGCAATTCAGAGGAAAATAGAATTCTTTGTATATTTACATAACTGTTTTTAAG